GGCTGAGAGAGTTGGGGCTGCTCAGCCTGGAGAAGAGAAGGCTCCGGGGTGATCTTATAGCAGCCTTCCAGTACCTAAAGAGGGCCTACGGGAAAGCTAGAGAGGGACTTTTTACAAGGGCGTGTAGTGATAGGACAAGACGCAATGGATTTAAACTGAAAGAGGGCAGATTTAGATTAGATATAAGGATGAAATTTTTCACTCAGAGGGTGGTGAGGCACTGGAACAGGTTGCCCAGAGAAGTCGTAGATGCCCCATCCCTGGAAGTGTTCAAGACCAGGTTGGATGAGGCTTTTGGCAACCTGGTGTAGTGGAGGGTTTCCCTGCCCATGGCAGGGGGTTGGAACTAGATGATCTTTGAGGTCCCTTCCAACCCGAACCATTCCATTATTCTATGGCTTTATAGTACACCAGCAATTTTATGTTTGTGCACCCTGCAAGAATTAACAGAAGCGAGGCAAGCAGCAACACTGAATTCATGCATTTGTTCCACAAGGACATGGCTACTCAAGCAGTCTACAACACATATAGGGAAGGAGCACGTATAGCTGGACTGGGCTGTGGAGTTACGCACTCACCTATTTTAAGGTACCCTCCTCACATAACTTGCATATCAAACTGAACCATAGAGAAACACGAGATAAATACTGTCCTGAAACAAACAAACACTCTTAGCATGTTTTCCTACACTGATTTTTTCACTCACTTGCTGAATTACGTCAGGATAAAGCATAGGAAGTCTCTCTGCAATAAGGGCCAATCCACCCATTCCTGCAAAAACTTGCAGTGGAGACTGAATGGGACAGGTTTCAAGAAGTGATTCATCTAGAACTGCATCCATACATTCATCCCCAGGACTGATGGCTTCATCTTCAGGGCAAGGTCCCAGTAAATCTGCATGCTCTACAAAAACACAGAGGCAAGAGAAATTAATACATCATCAATATTGTGTTTATTTCTTCATCCTCACTTAAAAGTGGACTTCAAAAGTATCAGTTCCTTCTCAAGCAAAGCTTGAGTCAAGAACCTGAAATGAATGAGTACAAGAATATAAAAAGAAAATACAAGTATTCCTGGTACCTTTTGTCAGTGGTGGCAGATCCATGTCACAGTTCGGGATTATTTACACAGGATTACATGTTAATTATTAGAATTTTATGTTTTATTAGAATTTGATCTATGCCTTTAAGATTTTGTTAACTTGGGAAGTACAACATTTTTTAACACTGTATTTCATCTAGGAGGTAAGAATAGGTGTCTTGCTCTCTGATAAAGAGTTTATAGCTGAAGAAAGGAAAGATAATTAGTCCTGCTTTTTCCTCAAAAATGCTGAAGAATAATTTTTTTTTTAGTTTCCCCTTCCCCATCATTTACCTCACCATCCATAAAGTAGTATCCTTATCACTCACCACACCTATCATTCTCTGTGATGCCACATTTCCTCTCTGTGATATGTCAAAATGCCTTCTGCCAAAGCTGTGAAATTTAATTCTATTCTTCCTCATAAAAAAAAAGATCAAGATCTCTATTTTTAACTTTCTACTAGCGTCCATCCTCCCAGTTTATGACTAAGCACCCTAATATCTTGTACAACAGACAAAAAAATATCATTTTATACACTGATGCACATAGGTTGTATATGTAGAACCCTACCACAATTCATTTTGCCAAAAATCAACCCTCTTTGCTCATTAGCACAGGCAGACTTCACAGTGAATATTAAATATGTTTAATCTAAAAAATCTGTATTGCAGATACGTTGTTAAATAATATAATGCAGTGGTCCTCAAAGCCTTCAAAGTATTCCCACACCAAAAGGCAGCATAGATCAAGTGGTCTCAGTATCTCTTCGCTGTGAGCAGTCTGAAACCCAGGTGAAATGCCATGATTATACTTAAAATGTTTGTATACACACATGCAATCATTTATTATATACTTGTAAAAACACAGAAGCACATTAAAGCATAATTCATGCAGCTACCAAACCAAACTTTAAAAAAAAAATAAATTTAACCACAAATACTTTATCTTTTAAAATCTTTTCTTTCCTAATTTGAAAGGGAATAGGAAGCAGTGTGTCTTTCCCCATCCTAACTCTCAACTTTTAAATGTGCAAGAAACACCAGATTAAAAGGACATCATGGATATGTGGTGGGAGTAGCACATCACTATGGAGCAATATGATCAAAGTATAAGATTTAATAAGCTCAAATCAGGGATATGTAGGAGTATGTACATCAATTCACCCTAATTCAACCTGATGGATTATGAGAAATAGAAAAGGTCACACACACTTCCAAAGCAGGATAATCCTTGTAATAAAGAGCCCCCCCACAACACTTTCAGCACATACAGCTTTGATATCTACGGTTCTTAAGGATACAGGCAGAAACCACCTCTGCGGAACTTTTCCCTGTCACCACTGACAGTGGGTGAGGATGTCTGCAAACATGCTGGTCTCAGCAAGGGACCACCTTCCATCAGGCACATGGAGAATTCCACCACACTAGGCTGAACATGATTTACAATTTGATTGCTTGCAATGACATGAATTGATCAGGTCACAAGAAAGGTTAGATTTCCTTGATAAGGCAAATTTTAAAATAAAGATTTTGAAGGCAGACTCACCCCTCTGTTTTACAATGTTTTATAGTGTAAAAAAGTGTAAGCCTTCCCAAAGAAGGAAAACAATAGACACACACAGATACCCACAATGCACAGAAAGATCACTAAGGCCGAACGTTTCTCTGTAAAAGACACTTGAAAAATATGTTATCGGTAAGGGTATAGGCACATCTTTTATTATGAGTGCAAATATAATGTTATTCTTTTCACATCTTAAATATTGTTGCAAGGAGTTACACTTAAGTATGCTTCTCCGGTACTTGCTTTAGTTAATCTTCTTATAACCCAACTTAAACCATTTCACCCCCATAAATGTTCTCCAAGTTTTCCGTGAAGTCATGCACTTCAGGTGTGGAAGCATATAGAAAAACATACGAATAAATGATGCTTTTCTTCAAGCACAGTAGCAGTAGTAAAAAAGCACTAGCACTAACCTTTCGAACTGATAAGTGGTGATTGAGAGACATCTGAATGTAATATTCCACTGTGTAGCACCATAGATCAATGAATTTGTAATGACAAAGTCAGATTTTCAAAAGTATTAGTCTCAAGTTCAAAAAAAAGGGTCTAGTAACTTTATAAAAGTTTGAAGAGGACCTTTATGTTTTCACATGCAACTCTACTACTAAACTGAACCTCCTCTAAAGATTTTTGAGTTTTATTCAAATAGAAAAATATTTATTTTAAGATTAGAATTTAAATAAACATCTAACAAAACAAAAATATAATTTGAAAGAGAAAGGCCTCTCAATAGGGTGAAAGATCTGTATATCCAGCCATTACATGGAATCATGAAATACGTGGATCAGACAGCAAGAAAATAGATTTTTTTTTTTCAACTCTTCTTTCTCTCTCTTATCTTTTCTAGAAAGAGATCGACCTATCAAATGAACAGTGTTTAAAAGAAGTCCCTGTCTTAAAATAGCCAAATGATTAACTTTGTAATTCCATGCTGTGTCAGCAGGCTGGTGATCAGCAGATCACCTTAACTTAATTTCAAGGTCTCAATCCTCTAAGTCCTTCCTAAAGGAATGATATAAAAATATTTCAAAACAGATTCCTGGGATACAGCTCCTCCCTTCCCCAGCACTATGAGTAAGCAGATAGCAAGCAACTAGAAAAAAATATTAGCAAGAAACAGACCATATTAGAAAACGTTAAAAAAAAAATGGTTTTAAAAGCTGGAGTTACAAGATCTGCTTAGATGGGCTTGAGAAAAACTCCCATTTTTAAAGAAGCATATAAGTACTCAAGTCGCCCAATAAAAAATTTCACAGGTTTCTACAACTCACATGGTTTCAAACAGCTCTTGCATTACTCAATCCACCCTGGTTATCAGCACAAACACTTACTACAGAGAACTGGTATACATGCAATGAAATAATACAATGAAGAAAGAAAAGTGAAAGTGGAACAGTCATATTGGTGCATCTGATAGATACGGCCTAAAGACAGGCAATGAATTTGTTCTTTATCACGAAGTTTTGTAGAATCTTGTAGAGAACGACTCAGGAACATCATCCAAGAAACTACAGAAAACTGCTGTTTCATACAAAAAAAATCAAAACCATTTTTGTCCAAAATAAAAGCATTTTAAAAAGCAAGATATCAAAAAAAGTAAGAACACTCACCTTTTTCTGTGTGAAGGCGTTTAAAGGAGTCTGTTTTTGATAAGCTAGGATCTGAGATGACTTTTGAGCCTAGCTTAACTGTCAAATCTATTGATCGGTATCCTTGAGGGAGTTTACGGTCGTACAGTAGAGTCAGAAGCTGGGCAAGTGTCATTTCAGCTGGTAATGGTTGGCCTAAACAACAATGGCATCGAGTCAGAGAGGAAAATTATAACTGGGTTATTTTAACATACATGTCCAGGTGCTGTTCATTACTTGTATCACAGATGCCAAGTAGACTAAATATTACCTGGCTCCAAATCAAGCCCTTAATTTTACCATTCGTTCCCTTGGGAAAAGGAGCCTCATCAGTTTGAAAACAACCATCAAAGAACTATGCCAACATTCCCTAAGGCAGCTCTGTGCTGAGAGCCCAAGCGCTTGGCATATTAACAAATGGCTAAGGCTGCAATTTGATGTGTATTTTAAGCGGGTACTGCCTGTCCCCTACTGTTAAACTCCACCTCTGCACTACCCTTGAATTGTGGTAGCATAAAGATGCGTGATTATAAGGTAAACCAGCTGAAGTGAAAAAAAGTGGAAAAGAAAGAAATCTGCAATTCTGTTTCAGTCCTGTTAGTCACAAGCATAGCTCACTACTCTTCTGTCAGGCTACAACTGAGAAAGACAAAATGAATGGCACTGCCAGGAATACTTTTCTCAGCAGCAAGGCAGACTTGAAATGCACATACAACACAGTTCAAACTGATCACTCAAATCAAGATTTTGGTCACTCTGTTCTTTACGAAGAATATGTTCTTCCCCGAAATTACAAGTTACTCTCAAGGCAGAACAATTTTTTCTGATAACAAGTAGACTTAGACATGAAGTGAAACGTTTTAGAGTTGGATGATATAATAATACATGCCCATTTCATCTTGACTGTACTTAATCAAGTAACAGAAGTTCCAGGAAGGTCTTTAATAGCAACCTGCTTCTTCAGTGGAAGATGGTGTATTAAGAAACAAAAATTAAAAACGTCTTGCCGTTGTGCAGAAGAATAAGTTTTCTGTCATTTTTTTCATGGCTGATTCTGCCTTCCGTAGCTGCTTCTTTTTGATCACTGATTCTGCCTTCTGTGGCTTCTGTTTTTGTAACAACTGGCTGTTGTGCAAGATGTGTGATCGACCAGATGGCAAACACAGAACAGTCTGCGTTACCTTTAATAGACAGTCAACCTTTACCAGCTAGATACTGAACACAGGCACTGAGTTTTGATCTCCTCTCCAAAATAGCAGCATTAACCATATCAATTTTAGACAGTTTAATCCAAGTATGTGATTCCTCTAATAATTGCCAGAGGATAGCCTCAAAGTCAATAATTCTGCAGTAAGTTCAAATTTAGTTCTTTATTGGGTGAAAATGACTTTGATCAGAAGTTCACCACTTAATTCCATTAGCTGTTTCCTTGTTTTTATACTATAAAACAGATAAGAAACTCTTCTGCATAATATTAAAGTGCATAATATTAAATCTGATCTGAGGTTAAGAATTCCCGTCACACCAATCTCTCTCTATAGGAATGAGATCTCTCTCTATGCCCCAACTACATCACCACCACCAGCTTTGTCCAGACAGCTGATAAAATGTGAGTAAATACCTCCTATAAGTAAAACATGACTAAATGCTTAAGACACGCTGGTTTTGAAAACACAAGTATTATGGAATTCATGAATATTCCTCAACTGGCAAATCAACCCTCCAGAGAGCAATGCAAGTTGGCTGCCCACTCAGGACATGAAGTAACAGGGCACAAATATCAGTTCCATTCTGCCTTGCAAGTAAAAGAAAATGTGACTCAACTTACAAAACCCCCCTGACCTTTTATTTCTGAGTGAAGGCAGACGTGTTTTTGAGATTTTGTTTATAAACAAGGAACAAAACTTCAAGGAAGTTGAATTAAACTAAGCTTCAAGGGAGAGGAGGATAATACCCGGCTTGCCCATGACAAGCTGAGAGCACGTGAAGAACAGCAGAAAGGAATTCCAGACACTCCAGTCAGTAAGTCAGCTTCACTGGAGGCCCAACTTAAATGCCTCTGTGAAAACACACATAGCATGGGGAATAAATAGCATAAATAAATAGCATAGCCCCTTGCAGGGCTATGATGTTATTGGCATCATGGAGTCGTGGTGGGATGGCTCTTATGACTGGAGTGTTGAAATGGAAGGATGCAGGCTCTTCAGAAAGGAAAGGCAGGGAAGACAAGAAGGTGTCATCCTCTATGTCAATGACCAGCTAAAGTGCTTGGGCTCCACCTGGGGATGGATAAGGAGCCAACCGAAAGCTTATGGGTCAGGATTAAAGGCAGGGCAGGGACAGGTGACATAGTGGAGGTCTGCTATAGGCCACCTAACCAGCAAGACCAAGCTGATCAGGCCCTCTGTAGACAGTTAGGAGCAACCTCATGTTCACAAACCCTGGTCTTCATGAGGGACTTCAACCACCCTGATGTCTGTTGGAGGGACAACACAGCAGAGCGCAAAGCATCCAGGGCGTTCCTGGAATGCACTGATGATAATTTCCTCCGCCAAGTCACAGAGAAAGCTATGAGGAGAGGTGATATGCTGGACCTTGTTCTCATCAACAAGGAGGAGCTGGTGGGGAATGCGAAGCTCAAAGGCAGCCTTGGCTGTAGTGACCATGAAACCATGGAGTTCAAGATCCTTAGGGAGGCAAGGAGGATACACAGGAAACTCACTGCTCTGGATTTCAGGGGAGCAGACTTTGGCCTCCTCAAGGATCTGCTTGGTAGAGTAATATGGGGTAAAGCCCTGGAGGGAAGAGGGGTCTAAGAAAGCTGGTTAATACTCAAGGATCACCTCCCCCAAGCTCAGGAGCGGTGCATCCCAACAAAGAGGAAGTCAGGCAAAACCACCAGGTGGTCTGCACGGATGAACAAGGAGCTCCTGGACCAACTCAGACACAAAAAGGAGGCCTACAGAGGATGAAAGCAAGGACAGATAGCCTGGAAGGAATATAGAGAAATCGTCCAAGCAACCAGTGATCAGGTTAGGAAAGATAAAGCCCTGACAGAATTAAATCAGGACAGGGACATCAGGGGTAACAAAAAAGCTTCTATAGGTGCGTCAGTGATCAAACAAGGACCAGGGAAAATGTAAGCCCCCTCCGGAAGGAAACAGGAGACCTGGTTACCCAGGATATGGAGAAGGCTGAGGTACTCAATGACTTTTTTGCCTCATTCTTCACTGGCAAGTGCTCCAGTCACACTGCCCAAGTTTGAGCCCATCTAAGGAACCTGAAGGTGGATAAGTCCATGGGACCTGATGAGATGCATCCGCGGGTCCTGAGGGAACTGGCAAATGAAGTTGTTAAGCCACTATCCATCATATTTGAGGAAGTCGTGACAGTCCAGTGAAGTTCCCACTGACAGGAAAAGGGGAAACAGTCCTCATTGTTAAAAAGGGAAAAAAGGAAGACCCGGGGAACTACAGGCCAGTCAGTCTCGCCTCTGTGCCCAGCAAGATCATGGAGCAGATCCTCCTGGAAGCTATGCTAAGGCACATGGAAAATAAAGAGGTGATTGGTGACAGCCAACATGGCTTCACTAAGGGCAAATCGTGCCTGACAAATGTAGTGGCCTTCTACAATGGGGTCACAGTGTTGGTGAATAAGGGAAGAGCAAATGACATCATCTACCGGGACCAGTCCAAACTATTTCACGCTGTCCCACATGACATGCTTGTCTATAAATTGGAGAGACATAGATTTGATGGACTGACCGCTCAGTGAATAAGGAATTGGCTGGATGGTCGCACTCAAAAAGTTGTGGTCAATGGCTCGATGTCCAAGTGGAGACCAGTGACAAGTGGTGTTCCTCAGGGGTCAGTACTGGGACCAGTGCTGTTTAGTATCTTTGTCAGTGACATGGACAGTGGGATCAAGTGCACCCTCAGCAAGTTCGCTGATGACACCAAGCTGTGTGGTGTGGTCAACACGCTGGAGGGAAGGGATGCCATCCAGAGGGAGCTTGACAGGCTTGAGAGGTGGGCCCTTGTGAACCTCAGAAAGTTCAACAAGGTCAAGTGCAAGGTCCTGCACATGGGTCAGGGCAATCCCAAGCACAAGTACAGGCAGGGCGGAGAACGGATTGAGAGCAGCCCTGAGGAAAAGGACTTGGGAGTGCTGGTGGATAAGAAGCTCAACAGGAGCCAGCAATGTGCGCTTGCAGCCCAGAAAGGCAACTGTATCCTGGGCTGCATCCAAAGAAGTGTGGCCAGCAGGTCGAGGGAGGGGATTCTACCCCTCTGCTCTCCTGAGATCCCATGTGGAGTACTGCATTCAGCTCTGAGGCTCCCAACATCAGAAGGACATGGACTTGCTGGAGCGGGTCCCAGAGGAGGGCCATGAAGATGATCCGAGGGCTGGAGCACCTCTGCTATGAAGACAGGTTGAGAGAGTTGGGAGTGTTCAGCCTGGAGAAGGCTCTGCGGAGATCTTATAGAAGCCTTCCAGCACTTCAAGGGGGCCTACAGGAAAGCTGGAGAGAGACTTTTGACAAGGTTGTGTAGTCATAGGACAAGGGGCAATGACTTTAAACTGAAAGAGGGAAGATTTCAATTAGATATAAGGAAGAAATTCTGCCCTCTGAGGGTGGTAAGGCACCGGGACGGGCTGCCCAGAGAAGCTGTGGATGCCCTATTCTTGGAAGCATTCAAGGCCAGGTTGGATGAGGCTTTGAGCAACCACGGCAAGGGGATTGGAACTAGATGATCTTTGAGGTCCTTTCTAACCCAAGCAATTCTATGATTGTAAGATCAACATAATTGTTACTTTTGTCAAGCCACTACGATGTTACAATGCTCCACTTCCAGTTGAAAGCTGTTACCGACCCAGAAGGGCTCTACAGTTCAAAATGCTCAACAGAAAGATAAAGGTGTCCATTAGCATTACATCTACTTTCTGATGACATATCAGCGACTGAAATAGAACATAATTATGAAGTTTAAAATGAGTTATTAAAGGTACCTGGTAGAAGTTTATGGTATAGATGAAAGACTGGAACACTAATGGTCTTGCTGGAAGATTCTCCTCCTGAGGAAGAGGTACCTACTTTATCCGCCATCACTCTTCCTCGCCTTGATGGTGGACGTGGAGGGGTGGATGAAACAGCTCTTTTTGACTGAGATTTCAAACCTAGTAAAGAGATAAAAAATTCAAAGTCATTCTAGTATTTAATAACTTCAGTTAGTCAAGATGCAATACGATAGCAAAAAAGTCAAATTTTTCAGCACTGGCTAATTAAATATCAGAATAGCACTCGAACATAAAATATATTTGGATATAATCCCAGCATTTTTACAGTTACAAGGCTGCGCATCCTCCTGAGCCCCAAATATAAACGAAAACGTAACTGCACTAGATCATATCATCCATAAAAAAAAACCACCCTAAAACTGTTCTGATTCTGCTTTCAACCTAGTTAAAGAGCCTGCGTAGCAATCGACCATACGGTATAACTTTTTCAGGCTGTTTTTCCAACTGAAAGCAAGACAGACAAACATTTCTAAATTGATAGACACTTCAGCAGACTACAGATAATAATCACTTGTCTGGCTTATGAAGGTGACTTCAGCTGCAGTACTGACAGTATCACATGCGATGAAAGGCATCTTTAAACATGCTTTTACAGTTGCCTGTGACAAAACATTTAAAGTAAGCACTACATTAAAATTAAAAGGCAGAATAGGTACGTAAAAGCTTACTAAACTTATATAGGAAGACTGCCATGTTTTAGGACATCTTAAGCTGACTTAAGGTACAGCAAAATTATACTACCATCATCTGCCCTTTGACACAGGTGACAGACCAAGTAAAAAAGCCAGCAGGTCAAGATATAAAGACACGTACAACTACTGCCTTATCATTAGCCAAGAGTAGCTGCAAAACTAACAATATCTGCACCTGAAATGCTATAATATGCTCGGGTTTCAGCTGATCAGTCGGAGCAGCTATAATATACAACACATTCTCCAATAATCTCAGCATACTAAACTAGCTTGTGTCAGGAAGATCAGGGTTCCAGATACCAACTCTACTCTCTATTCATTTTACCAATAGGGAACAAGTTAAATACTGACTACAAGTGGCTCTGAGGACACAAAAAAAATTCCCCAGAATATATGAAAAGATAAAAGAAGAAAAGATTTCACAAACGTGTAGTAAAAGCAAATGCAAATGAAATTAGTTTACATTGAAACTGTTTTACTTAACTGGAAAAAGTACAACAAAAAGAAGGAAAAACTTAAATCTGCTCCTTTCTAAATAGGGCATGGGCTATAACAGGTAGTTGACCAGAGATGCAACTGGGATGAGACATGGCTGACTATGCTATGCCCTGTCTTCAGCTTGGATTTTTTTTTTTTTTTGATTCCTATTTATTCATGTTTTAACCCTTCACTTTGGCCTAATAATATTTTAGATATTATCAAAACATGTTTAGCCTGTTTAAGTGGCACCTACTTTCCATACTTGATCTTTCCATATCAACAGTAACTAACATCAGCTGTGTTGATTTAAATACATACTACGATACATGAAACTGCTGCACTATTCAACATTTGAGTTTAGAGCTATGTCTACATCTAAAAACCTGAAATAAAAAGCTTAAGAAATATTGGTGCCAGCAGTCAAAGGAAATCAGCATCTCTTCTTCATGCTTCATGAAGTGTAAATGAAATTGAGGTACTTCAATGAAGGCAGAAAGCTAGATAGGAAAAGAGTAGTTTGAGGTTCATTAATCTCTCTCTCATACACACCAGAACTTCAAACCAAAAGACTAACGGTCTCTACAGCAATCATCTCAACTTCAATCTTCTTGTATCACTGCAAAATTACTATGTTCAATCTACAACTTCCATAGCAGTTTTGGAGAAAACGGGTTTACATGAATGATTTGAGAAGGATCTTCACATTAGTTTATAGAAGGTGAATGCTTTGGAACAAAATCCTGTATTTGTGGTTTCCAAGTGGAGTAATATGGTTTTGTGCCTACATCTCCATCTGACAGTTTTAGCAGATTACAACCAGTTGTTATGCAAAGTATACAGATCCTTTTATTTCCTTTTATTTCCAAAGCATATTGCAGGAGTAGAGGTGATTAAACTCTGATGAACCAGCCACTGAAAAAAAGCAGAGGTAGTAATACCCATACCAGAATAACAGTACACAAATACAAATATATTGCCAAGTAATACAAGCTCCAGATGCATCTCTACAATACCCTGTAAAACGCACTAGCAACAGCATCCACAACATATCACTGACACACACATTTAGGTACAAATTTGTCAAAGTATATAAACTGCTAGATGCAGCAGTTCTACCAGAAACCAATCCTTGCTGCCTAACAGGCAGTTAGATTAACTGGGTGATACTATTTTTCTAACCACCATTATTAATAAAAAGAATTGTTGGTAGATACTTCCCTCCCTACGCACACTTTTAACATGAGAAAGATCCAGTTTTTAGATGGAAGAAAGAGACATACCAGAAGCAACAACAACACTGTAATTGTCCTGAAATCCATTTTCTGCTTTAACTTTTTCTTTCTCTTCATAGTTCTTTTTTTCTTTATCTTCCTTCTGTTCATTAATTAGCTTAGCTGTAATACTGGGTGTATCTATATAGGGAAAAACACACACACACAAAAAAAGAGGAAATAAAGACATTTCACAATACCAAGCTGATTTTATTATTATTTCTAGGCTGTTAACAAGAATATTTTCAACTATTTTAGTGTCTTAGAGTTCCATTCCAGGCAGTAATAGTCTTGTAAAGATCCATGAATTAAGGTATTATGATAGTTTTTGTCCCCTCTTCCCTAAAAAATCTGTTTCTCTGACAATTTAAAACTGTAACAGTTTAAAACTATTACCTGACGAGTCAAGTGTATTCATGTTAAAACAGCACTGCAATACACCAAAAATAAGATTAAGAAAAAAAGAAAAACAAACACCAAAACCCCAAAAACCTCAAATCTAAACAAAACACAAAAAACTCCTGCAAAATAACAACAACAACAAAAAATTCCAAAACTTTTTTTTGAAGACACTTGCAGACTTATTTAAATGAATAGTTGTATTTAGGTCTGGGTATCTAGTGTTATATACTAATCCAATTTCAGAACTGGCAAGTATGACTGTTCTTTTGAAATTGGAAGATGCCTAAAGTACATTATATATCCAAAACCTGTGCTGCTTGCTTCAGTGAACATTACATTACTGCAGTTCAACTGTTCTGGTTCAATCATTAGTGTAGATCACAAGTATCAGCAAGCAACTATTAAATTACTGATGACAGGTGACAATGGATCATTTCACACTGGAAGGTAGCACACTAGCACCAAAATGGCCAAATAATTCACTAATTGCTTCTGAGGACTAACTTGTTTCCACCCAGTCAGAGCAGCCTTAAGTTATAAACCCAGACTCAAGACCTAGAATTACCGTCCAGCTACCTTTAATTGCGTATCACCAGTGAGCGAGGTGCTGAAAGAGATATGGTTTGACTGCTTGGAAATAGGTAATGACTTGTGCCTGAGGACACTGGTTATGTCTGTGTTAGACAGCAGTGCAGACCAAAAGAAGATACGGAGTGTGAGACTGCTGATACTTAACATTCGCACACACAAGACAGAGAGACAGACAGATAGAGGAGACTGGGTGTTGGCTTTTTAAAAAATTCTCATTACTACTACTACTACTATTATTATTAAACTTCAGAGTTGCTCTAGTTTGGTCCCATGGACTGAATGCCCATTTATTGCTGGAGAACTCAGAAGTCATTAATAAAATTATTAAGGAAGCTTAAGCAATGGTTTTTTTACTACTCAGGTGATACTCAGATTTGTTTTTCAATTTCTCTGACCAGTCAAGACCAGTAACTTAAGACTAAGGTGAGTGAAATACAGAACAACTGGTACTCATCCTAGACAATCCTATCCGCAGTGATACCGCGCATTTTCTTCCTATGGTGAAGGGATGCCAACAGCAGATTTAACAATGATTTTAGACACCTTCCTCCCCTCTCCTTTTTTTTTTTTCTTTTTTAAAAGACAGAGAAAAAGTATGAAATGAACATGCTTATTGTGACTGACTTTTGCAAAAAGTATGATACAATCAGTTTGAGACATTAACAGCGTAGTTAAAAAGTTAACCCAAGGGACAGACTCTGACACAGGATCTTCAGGACTTCCTATTGTCTCCCTTTCACACCAAACACACAGTTTACTCCTCCTATATTCAAGTCATCTTTACTATGTCCTAACCATAGCCTTCATGGAATGATGTATATACAAGTTATCACAAAGCTTTTAATATAATCAGAGAAATTCCAGTAGATGAGGGATGGAAACATAAGCGAACTTGAACTTTTCCAGAATTAATTCTTCCAATTTGAAATGAGAAGCTGAGGAATAACAATTCTGTAGCAAAAAACCCCAAAGTTATGGTGCTCTACAAAGTCAGCATTTGGTCAATTTCAATTATAGACATTATAGTGTATCACGTCAACACCTTCCCCTCCCCAGTCCCTGTTAGCACTGGCTATCAAGCTGACCACAGCACACCACTAAGGCAGCTATTCAGCACAGTTTATGTCACTGCTCAACAACGGATCCCTACCTCATATGCAGCGACTTGCAAACATCCCACGAGACATTTCAGAACACGTTAATACTAAAAAGCAAGCAAAAAAATCCCAAAACAACCAACCTACCAAAAAACCACCAACTAAAACCAAAAAGCACAACAACAACAAAAAATCCCACCTTCCCCACCTCAGTTTTATAGAAGGAAAAAGTAGCAATTGACCAGAAAAAGTGCATTTGACATGCAACATGTTAAGGCATATGCAAAAGCTTACAACTTAAACCATATATTTGGGAATTACCAATGAACACTGCATATATGCATGTTACACACACTTGTTTCATGCATTTATTTTGTTTTAGGCTTTTTTTCAAGCTGTAAATTAAAAAAATAAAACATGAACTATTGCAAACTTGCCTGACACACGATCAAGAACCTCTGCTAGAGTTGTTGAGACAGGCAAGTGAAGAGTACGAAATTTGTGTCCAGCTCCATACATTGGATGTTGAATTACATGACTAGTAGCATTAATTCTACCTTTGTACAGCTGAAAGGAAAAAAAAGTCAACATTTAACATTACTTTAACATTCAGAAATAAGTTAAAACACTAAGTTCTTATAAACTCATCTCAGCAAAATAAAGCTAAATCTTTTGTGTGCTAAAAAAGAAAACTGACATATCCTTCAACATTAGAGGTATACAGTAAAAACGCATCAAATTAGGACAAATTTCATTTTTTACCTCAAACGAATTTTAATCAAAAGCCTAGAAGAGTTTTAGGATCAGATACAGTATGATATTATGTTTGTTCTAAAAAATCCAACTATTTTACACAGCTTTATATGAGAGAAAAATTGAGTGTTTGAGACTTGCAATTATTTATTAAATTAAAAATTCTGAAATTGAATTAGGAAAATCACAATATGCTTGTGGTAGAGAAAGATGCCATTTCTCTGTTGCTCTTACTTGAGGATGTAGTTTCTTCTAGAATAAACATCTACTTTTTGCTTTTATGATGGATAACTAAGTCCCTACTAGTTAAAACATTTCAAATTTTTTACCGTGATATATTTTAGGCTGAGCTCTTTTCACATTTTGTATCTTCTTTGTTTGAAGTAACTTTTTACAGACTTCTCTCCAATGAGAGTGGCACTCTAAAATAAACATACTAAAACTGTATTTGTTCCTCCTTTTCCATTTTATACTAACTGATCCAGTTTCCCTGTCATATATCTCATGTAGTACTTTACTTCTGAGACGCAGTAAGAACAGCAGAAACCAAAGCAGAAAATTATTTTTCCTTGCATGGCAATACCAGATCTTTCTATAATGTGTGTTTTTCCTATATTTCTTTATTCACAGCCTTCAATTAAGAGCACAGCACTTCAGTCATTAATCATAATTCTGTGTTCTGGTGAGCATGTGGAAATATGAACACATACATGTGTTTTATGAATTAATTCAAACATTTGTCACTCAAGAATTTATTCATGGTGTTTTGGCTAATGCTGAAGGATCTCTGTCAATTTTGAAGCATCAAAACTATGACTGCTGCTTAATGAAACTCATAATGAAGAACTGCTGAAGGACTAGAATTTGAATCTATATTTGCTGCTAATGCGTAAGGACACTATTAAAAAGCTTTCCATGAGATAAATTTCAGTTGTCAATTCTTTCAGAAGCAGTGTATTTTGAACAAGGTGGCTTTGTCTTGCAACAGTGCCTTAAATTTTCTTTTAAAATGCTGAGTTACAACTCACCAACACATTCCTTTCCAAAATTCCACAACGTGTACAGTAGTAAAAGCTGCCATCTGACATTTCAAAGTTGAATATACCCAGATTTTTTTATTTTTTAAGGCTAAATTTATTCCATGTTCACCATACAGATTTCAAAAATTCTTACTGGACACGGGGACTGAAGAAACAAAGTCACTTTCTCATCCTCTAGCATCAGCTGCAAAAAAAGCCTCCTAATAAATCCTGAAATATTTCCAGAGGTTGGGAGATTCCCACGCTGAGGTGAGGACTGGAACAATTCACAGAGAACCTGGGAATGCAAAATGACATCAGATTTAAAGTATTTCTATATTTAGGTGTCTAAAATACAGCTCTACACAGCCATAACAGGCAGGGCCGAAGATCTACATTCCAGTTATCATTCAAAGCAGATCAGAAACGAGCACCCCTGAAGAAAATACTAGCGGCAAGTAAAGTTTTCTATTAAAAAAGTTCAAAACACTGACTACAGGGTCAACTTAATTGTAAACACACAGACTACTCAAAAAGATAAAAAATGAAGATAAAGTATTCAGAAAAATAGCTTTCAAATTCCTAAAGCAAAAATTTCCTACTGCATAATGCAGTATTGCTACCAGCTATTAACAGAGAACTGTGCTGAATTTTTTTACTGAAGTCTAGCTGTTTCCAGGGCGTTGTCATTCTTAATGCTGAAAAATCTTTTTAAAAATCCTACTTTTATTCACCTAGGTCTGCAAGGTTAACGAATGTGAGCAAAATAGCTGAATTTGCTCTAGAATGCAAAACGCAAAGCCATATTCTGCAACAGCCTGTGCTTCCCTGGTCACGTATGGTGCAGGGTATACGGCTGTGCAAGCAAATGCACCAGGAAATTTCCTTAAGTTACTAATATAAAATATGTATGAAGCCTGTTTTTCAAATTCCATTTCAGAAGAGTTTAGACCTATCCGATTAAATACAGTATTTGGGATTCTGAATAAAGCTTATTCCTCTAAACCAAGAGGAATACAAATCACACATAGGACTGGATGGCCATGACAAAACAATTTTATACTTTTAAAGTCTGACCAACAAGCTAAGAATTTTAATACAAAACTCTTCCAGCCAATGACAGCTTACCTAACAAAACTAAAGAAAGCTAAAAAAAGTAAAAAATCTTGAAAGTTCGTTGTAATTAAAGAAATTAAAACTTTTTTTTTTTCTCTCACCTGTGCCATAAGTCTCTGGTTATTAGGATGGCAAGAGATACACTGTAAGAAGAAAGCAACTGTTGCATTTTCAATTGCTGTCCGCTGCTGAGTGGTCAACCCTGTTGTTACAGTTGAAGAAAGCAAGCTAGATCTTGCACTGGTCTGTTGTGCCGTCACATTGTGTCCTCCAGAAGTAGCACCAGAATGGCACAACAGAAATAGAAGTGCTGTCCACAATGGATTGACTTCAGAGCCACCCAACCAATCCTTCATCATGTGGCTGTTGCCGACTTCTGTCAAAAACCTGAGAACAGGAGCAACCAGGTCTGCCGTGATAGGCATTTTATTAAAGTGCTGTGGAACATGATGCCTCCTGAGCCTGTCCTGGGTGATATCCATTGATTGTGCAGTGCAGTCAGAGCTAGAAGTATGGTTAAAGCAAAAACTAGCAAGACTTCTTACAAGCAGTGAAGGTAAACCTGAGTCCAATAATTGCTTGATAGCTTCAGGAGACTGGGATGAGGCAGCAAGAGTAGCCAGGTGAGACTCTGTTAGTGCAAGAGGGGCTTGTGCGTTTTTAGAGTCATCTGTTAAAGATGAGCTAAGGTCCTGTTTTTTGCTGTCATCAGTCATGGACAGTCTGTGTTGACACTGCACTGGAGGAGGAGTGATACCCATCCATCCCATGAGTAAGGAAAAGTAATTTGGGTGAATGTGGCACATTGAGCAAAGCAAACTATCAACAGCTTTCTTCAAAACCATGTTGCAGGGAAGAGACATGGACCAGTTAAACAGCGACCTGTAAAAGACAGATAATCATGTCAACACATTTGCCACTCATACTCCCTTTTTCTCACTGGTTCATAAAACATTCTTCCACATTTACGATTAACTATTGCAGAAGCTGCTGTATAACACACTGTGCTGAGCTTGAAAGCCTCTTTTGGATCACAGTATCAGCAGGACATTCACTACCCAAAAGGCATTCTTCAACTGTATGTTTAAATTTCCTTCATGATATGTATTTCAAACAATATAAACCAACTCTTTTGGCATGCTGCAGATGAAAGATTTCACTCTTTTGACAGTTGTCACATAATTCATGCATTTTTGAGCCAACTGCAACCTCTTCGTGCTTTCAACTCTCCAAGTTACAGCTACCAGGATCACACACACACACTCATTTACGTAAAGGTGTCTTAATCCTTTGTAAGAACTGAAAGTATTTTAACATGTTTCCAAATAAAATTTGCTTTATTAGAGTTCTATCAAAGATGCTGCAAAATACTGAAAGCAGCAACAATCTTGTTGGTTGAAAGATGTTACTATCTCTATTCTTACTCAACTTGAACTTCAGACAAGTTAACAATAGAATTATTCCTCAGAGATACTAAAATCCCATGTACCTTTGAACTCACTTCCATCCAAATACTATCTGCTTGAATGCTAATCCAAGGCACATGAATGCAAAAGCTAATTTAGCTCCTATTACTCAGCTTAAATTTCAGAAGTGGTATTTGTAATATAGTGAAATAATTTATTCATACAGACTTGTTCAGAGTAGGTGAAGTATTAAAAAAAAAAAAACCATAGTTTTCTGAACTGCATTCCCAGTACCTTGACACCATACATAAGTTACACCATCTTAACCTTTACATACAGAGGCAAATACACACTTCGTGCCAGTTCAGTATTAGGTTTTTAAGTAAGTTTGGATCTATCATTGTGTATCACATTCCCATTTGAAGACAAGGACTGTTCTTTCCTCTTCTGGATTAAAGTGTTATTCTTTGTTTAGTCTAAGGGACTCTAAGTGTCTAGAACAGAACATGGGTCTAACCAAAAATTAGTTAACTTAGCTTTATCTCCAGTCTAGTGAATGGCTGATAAAAAACTCTCTCCAAGATAAAATATTAAAAAGTTATCTCCGTGACAAAATGACCCAAAACTTTGGGAAGATAGTCACAATTTCCCAAAGGCCACATATATAATAAAGATACACAAACTCTTCTCCAACTATACATTCACACAATCCTTCTGCCAAAGTTTTCTGGTTAAGTTCATGCTCTATGAAAAGTAAGATTCTTTTCCAACTAGATATTAAAAAAAACTAAGGAATAAATTAGTATCGATTGGTCAATGCAGAAATATTTAAATGGAAAATGAGGGTGATGGGAAAGTATATCCAATTAAAAAAAATGAAGTACCACATGAAGGAGAAATTGGGAGTTACAGTTAGAATCAATGGAAATATTTCAAAAGTTATAATACAAAGAGGATGAAGAATATGCATGAGAAGTTATTTTTATTAGAAGAATTATTTACTCATATAAGTTGATTCTTCTATATTTATTAAAAACTTATTTTACAATTTGCTCTAGATGCCAGTTGATACGAATTATAGTTTTATTTGGCAGGAGGTAGAGGAACAAGGCTATATTGCAACACGCGCACTCAAATCAGGTACAAGAGTCTTATTGATATTCCTCCATTTCATCCTGTGATGTGAACAACATACTTTCCTCCAAAAGATAGGAATTTAGTTGTGAAACTCACTTTTATATTAGTATAAATCTATATAGGCTGTTTTAGGGAAGTCTATTTTTATTAGAGTTCTTCCTTTTCAAATGTTAAAATTGCTAAAACGTATCCTGAAAATGCATTTCTGCTAAAATGTATTGCTGAAAGGATTAATAGACCTGCAACTTAAAATCCTTAAATTAGTCCCCAAAATGAAAAAGCTCATTTTGAATTAACAATTATCTCTCTCTCTCTCCCTCTCTCTCCCACACACTGAAGTTTCTTTGGAAAAGGTCTTGCTTGTAGTCACGTATCTAAAGACCATCATGTTGCACTCATGCAAGAACTCCACATACTTGTATCAATAACCATAACTTTGACATTTCCCAGTGTTTGAATGTTTGACTGTGCCTAAAGAAGACAGTAAGGTAGCAGAGAAATATGAACGTTTCCTAAGTGCAACAAAAAAATTTATGTGCTATCGGAGTTTCTTTCATTAACTGGAATTGTATTCAATGGTACAAATGAAAAATTCCTGTACCTAGTAAAGCATCTAACAGCTATATTGCTGTAATATACATGAAATAAAGCTATGCAGCTTCTCTTTTCTGTTTTGTTTAAACAGAAAAAATGGTTAGGCAACATGAATTAGGAATGTTAGCTCATATATTTTCAATCTGGAGTCAATAAAAGTATACATTTGGTGTTTAGGATGAACTTTTCTTTAGAATCTAGCAACATCCAGCAAATTCATAGTTCAAGATTCACTCAAGATTTTGTGCTTTCTTTCTTTCAGATGAGACTGGCTGGAACAAAAGTGGCACCTCCAAAAAAACAATCTCGCCTCCTCTAGCTCTTAGCTATCAGTTATAGATATTGGATACCCTGAGTAATAAAATAATGCTTATATAACAGGATAGTAATGAAGATAATGATTTATAGGTACTTTGAAAATTACTGCAAACACTCAACAAGAACAGCCTAGAGTTATCCATTAAAAAAACCCCACAAACAAAACCATGTAACAGTTCACCTTTCCCATAAGTGCAACTATACACATGGATTTGCTGTTTTGTTTCAGATTTTTATTTTTAGACACAATTATACTTGGAACATGTGAAGTGCTGGTTTGTGCTTAGAACTACAAAACTACCTGTTTAGATATCTAAGTATTCACTCTATCAGTTAGCTTCAGAGATGACCATTTCCACTACTATTTCACAATGAGCACACTTCCAAGTCATATCGTTTCAGATAGAATTAAGAAGAAAGAATTTCAGAAGAAATTAATTCAGTTATAAAAAAATGTGTGGTGCAAAACTTTGCTGTACTTACTCAAAGAGCTCTCTGTCCAGCAACGCTGGTAGATCGTATTCAACGAGCAATTCATAACTATGCCACAAAATTGCTGCCACGCAATGCAAATGGGAAGGAGATGGCATCAAAAGACCATACTCTCTTGTTGAGCTATTTGGACAAATGTAGCTGACCCGGCCACTTTTTTTCATAGCTGCGACTCTTGCGGAATCACTGACCCATTTCAGCAATGCTTGAATTCTGGAAGGCGAGACGATGTAGTACATTATAAAGGACCAAAGAAACACTCAAAATCAAAACAGCTTGCTGTCTTTTTGTAATCTGATTTACACATTTATCTCTTCTTTTGAAGCAAAGTTCAAGAGTGAGCTCCAACTCTTGTTTCCTCAAGACTTAAATCACTAACAAGGAAAAAATTAACCAAAAACACTTATCAACTTGGACAGTGAAATGTAAGCTTGCTTTCTACAGAGAAAGACAACATGTAGGTATCTGAATTCTGAGTATTTGAGAGAAAAGTCAGTTGGACAACGGAAGTTTTATCACATTTATAAGAGCAAAAGAAGAGGGACAGCATTCTCTGCAAAGGATGCACAAAGAGCTAGGAGAGAAAGCTGGAAAGCTTCTTTAGATTTCTGCATTTCACACTATCTCATAACAGTAAGATTACAAAAGGTCTGGTTTTGTGAAGTAATATCAAGCCACTATTTAGCAGACTATTTTTATATATGCTTCCATGTGACAATCTAAATAACATTACCTATCTTTTGTTCCAGGGTCTTGAGTTGTTCCAAGTTGATAAAGAATGTCTATTGTGGAGTCAGAAGAGAGACCATTTAATCTTCCAAACAGTAAAGGGCTATTCAGATCTTGCCACGTTCAAAAAAAAACAAAAAAGGGAGGGGAAATAATAGAAGTACTTACATATGTATTTTTTAAAAGTACTAATGAAATTATTATAGATTGCAATATTAACCTTCAGTTTTGTCATTAACATAAGGATGCAATTCTTATACACACCACTATCTCAAAACCGTGCATTTTGTATGTTCAATGCAACATGCTTACTAAAATGGAAATGCCTTACTACAAAAGGAAAAATCATTGCAACATTCTTACGATACAGGACTTAAAGGTTTAACTAGCAGGATTTTATTCAACATATTCCAAAAAGACACAATCAGTTTTAATAGAGCCGTCAAACATCATGTTCCACAGAAGAAAACATTTGTTTCAGAATGGAAGCTTATTTAACTCCAATTTCCATCAATAGGACTAAGGTTGAATATTTCTTCAGATTATTTCATATTCATCTTCTCCTCACTGTGCTAATCTCCTGCTTTGTAGAAAACTACTCTCTTATTTAACAGCATTAGAGCAAAAGACAGTAAGCTGCACTAAAACATTAACTCATGGCAAAATAAGTCATGGAAGCTATTTTGAAAAGAGTGCTTTCTGTTAGTATCAGCAACTTCATAACAGGGAAAACATTAATTCAGTTTTCTTTCATTTAAAAGCCACAAAACAGCAAAGCAAAGTGGTACAGAATCATAAATGCAAGAAACTCAGCGCATTAACAGAAGAGTTACTGCAAAATTTCACTGTGGGACACAGATTAGCTGTTCAAGTTTCTTGATTATGCACTTTTACCTGTAAATATTTTTAACGTTTACTGCTGTTCAGAATTTATGCAGAGGATTACTGTCCAAATATTGCTGCATTTGTTTTCCTTAACACTACTGATGGATGCTCTTTATTTTGAAACAGCTGGACATACTATCTATAGTAAGACACACTTACAATATATCGCATGTCCTACTCTACCTAACTATATTCTACACAAAAATCAAAATGACCCTGGTTCTACTGCTTTACTGTTATAGAACTACCCACATACAAAACCGTGATACTTAGAAGCATAACAAAGCACAATGGGAAGTTCTAGCAACCCAAATTCAGAATCAGAAAGTAACATGCAATTATAACCTGTTTGTACATTTATATGAGCAACAACTGAAAAGAAAAACACTGCACTCACCTGCAGGATCGCTCCCTGATGCTGAGCAGTTTCTTAGAAGAATGTCAATCAACTTTAGGCCTATTCTGGTGGACTGAAGCCCAATTTTTACAAGCACAGCCTCAATGTTTGGAGAATGCATACCACAGTAAGGTGACATTAGTAAAGCAGCACATGTCTGCAACAGATTAGCAGTGGGTGCTGCAGCACTAGCCATCATTCCTTCTAAATCACTTATGTGAGTGAGGCAGTGGTGTAATAATCTTAACCATCCAATACTGAAAAGGAAAACATAAAGATGAGCTAATGTATAATTTCCTTATTATTTTGTATTTCATCTGTAATCTAACTACCTGTATTAGATTTTATGACAAGTACTGCAGAAAACTGCTGTGACATGATCAGACATCATCGGAGAAAAGCAAATTAAAATGACTGAATTCAAGATCCCAATGTAATACACATTAGTAATGCTGTTGTAATCATTGGTTTAAGATTGTAAGAAGGGTAGGGTTTGTGGCTAGGAAGAGTTAACAGCCTGCAAGTTTTATTACTTAAGTTTCTCAAGATTTCTTGATTTCTATACATATTTCTTCCAATAGGGCCAATCTATCGGTGGGAAGGTGGAGGGGAAGCTATGGGGGAGGGTGTGGTGGGTTTTTTGTTGTTGTTTTTGGTGGTGGTGGCTGTTTTGTTAGAGGGGTTGTTTTTGTTTGTGTGGTTTTTTTTTGTTTTGTTTGGGTTTTTTTACATTAAAAGGAGCTGGCCAAAACATAAATGTGACATGAAACAGCACACTGTCTCACTTAGGCACCATTGGATCTATTCATATTTAAGGTCAAGTTTCTGCAATAGTGGTTGGCATTAAAAGTATACACCTGCACAGCTTCCCTGACATTATAAACCTTTAGGGTCATAGACATCTGCAATAAATTACAGGGAACCTTAGTGAACCTGATTTCAAAAGCAAACCAAAAAATTGCAGAAATTAAAAATGTGTTAGCCACTGCATTTCCCCCATATGCCTCTTATTGTTTAACAATATTGTTCAGTATTCCTTTTAACAATAATTCTTGAGACGTACACCCATTGTAATTGAATCAATTTGGAAATACTTTAACTAAACTTTATTTATAAAAATACACTACAATGCTGTTTAAACTAGCATTATGAACAAGATGGCCATCTAAGCTGCATGTGAAATAGGCATCATTTCACTGCCAGGTTCTAAACTAAACAGGATAACTTGTTTTCACAGCTAACCTTATCTCCCGTAGTTAAAAAATTAATTTTGTGTGACTTGAACTTAACTTTTTCTGAAGTACAAATATAGCAATAGTATAATTTGGCTATGAAAATTTGCTTCACCGCTATTAAAAATCAGAGACGAATTCAATTATACACGTTTTAGAAAATATACACTGGAGAGTATTCATGTTCTCTAAATTTACTTACTCTCTCAATTATTTTCCCAGCAAAAGAAGAAAGGTTTTGAAAACTTTCCCAAACTCTCTTTTCAAATTTATAAAAATTAAGGTTTAAAGATGATATATTTCAAGTTAATGAATTTTTACAATTTAGTAAGATAAATTTCAAAACCAGGAAGTTAACCCATGAAATTAAATTCAAAGCTGGAAAACTTTAACACTTGGGTTTTTTAAATGCTAAAGGGTTTATTTACTTTTGTTTTAAAAACGAGTAAGAAACTCAAGATGTCACCTAACCAAATAAAAGCTTTTGAAAAGAAATCTTGCTGATATGCCAGAATCATAACATTCAGTTCCTATTTCTCAAATGTTTGTGAACAGCAATATTAGAAACGACTTCCACAAAACATCCCATTGTCCTATTTCTATTCCTGCTCCAATACTTATATAACTTCGTTGACTTCAGTAGGGATAAGAAATATGTTGCTGCTTCAGTTTTTTTGACAACTGCCTACCCATTAAAAACACAGAATGCAACTCTAAATGCTTTCCTGTGCTTCGTATTCTTTCTGCAGAGATGAAACATCGCCTTTCATATAAGCGGATTAAGCATGCTACCAAAAAAGTGAGAAGTACTGCTTATATTTGCCTTAAAAAAAAAACAAAAAACAAACAAAAAACAAAACCCACAAAAAACCCACCATGCAAGTTTTTTAAAGATATTTGAAACAGATTCTATAAACGCTAAAATTGAACTACAAAAACAGGTACTCATGAACACAGTTTGCAACTGAAAGATCTGACTCAGAGCAGAAAATATCATTAAAAAAAACCTCAAACCATGTACTGCACAAACATACCCCTGTCCATTGATACTAGAAGCTTACCTTGTTTTAGAGACTTGATCCTCGGAGGGAAGGAATGGATTATTGACGGTTGCCGACGAGGTGTTTCCGAAGGCCGTGAGGCCCAAGAGCTTGATCTGAGAGAGGCCCAGTGTACTGGCATCCCGAGGACGATGGAGACGAAGGCAGACAGCTGAGGCAACTTCAGCTTTTACCAGCTGGATTTTTATGTAGGTGAGACCGCTCGTGATAACAGGAGTTGACAAAGGTAACATATTGACACCATCTGCGCTTATTTCAACAGATACTGATGAAGGGCAAGCTACAGAGTAAGATACAAACATTTAATACTATTTTAAAATCTTTTCTGGTTTGAATTTTAAGTGTTAAACATGTATCCCTGTTAAAGATATAGAACAAGATGATTGAATTGATCTTAGGCAAACATTACTACGTAACTGCAGCTGGAGTATTTGACTTGTGCGACGGTATATGTTGAAATGTGTAAGCATTTTGAGACATGGTGTATATAGTTTAATTCAAAGACTTAAGATGAAGAAAAGTCCTGTCACTGTAAATGCCATAAGTATGCTAGGGAAACCTAGCAGGGCTACAATAATAAGAGCTGAAAATCTCATGCTTTATTCCAACTACCACACAATCCATTTTGCCTGAAGACACTTGACCAATATCACATTCTCAATTGGGAAAGTTTGAGACAAGGTTTTTTGGCATGTTTATTACTGGCACAAGGTACGTACTAAGCTAGAAGAAATGAAGCATAGGTAGGGCCTTCCACTCTCAAGGAAAGTAGAATTAGCAAGCTTTTTAACTTATTTTACAGGCATTCTTCAAATAACCTGTCAGCTTTAGTTTCTCTCATTATACTCTTTGTATCATTTCTAAATCATTCCCTTCAAATTTTTGAACTGGCACCAATGTCAGTGAACCGACTTACTTGCCAGAGAGGCCAGGTGAGGCTGGATGTGGATCTCCTTGAGCAGCACAGCTGCGGGAAGGTGAATCGTGAGGTCACACCAGGCTTCCTCTGGTAAAAATATATATGACCACGCAGCAGACCGAGCTCGTCTGTGGGGAGGAGTAGCCTGCAACAGGACTTCAGCAGGCTGGGCAGTGGGACTGCTTGAGGTGATTGAACCTTCAAAATCAGCACCATTAACATTGCATATTAATGTTTATTAATAATACCCAGACTAATTTACAACCTGAACTGTGGAAAACACTTTTTTTCCTCTCTCACCTGTTTCGGTTTATTGATAACATCTCATGTGTAATAATGACAACTGCTGAGATATTTTTCTTTTAGACTATTTTACACAGGCAGTTTACATGTCCACATGCTTATGCACATGCTTGAAAATTTGTTAGGGGACGCTTACTACTAAAACCCTAAACTTTCTATCAAGACTTCATTACAAAACCAAACCAACCCGAAAGGCGCAGGTTGAACAGTATGCTTAGAACTTGAACTTAGCTTATTCACAGTTAACATAATGAAGGCTTTGAAGGTTTAAATATTACTATGAGAACATAAATGACTTCATAACCAAAGCCTGCAAACCTATTTCTTTAAAAAGGTTTGTTTCACATGAAACTTTTTCTTAAAAAAGACACCAGAATAAAAATACCTGACCACAGCAGCTGCTTATTTTTCTAATCTTAGCATGAGTTAAGAATGAAGTAGGAAGATCTAGGCTGTATCTTCTTTAGCAAATAGTACGGTACATCAGGACCAGATTTGTGCTGTTCAAACTACAGGTACTTTGAGGCGTTCTACTTTAAAGTAGCTCTAGCCTGGCCTCAAGACTGAATGCCTAGTAACAGCTGAAGGTGAATTCCTGGACACATTTTGATAGCCTTTCATCTCGAATCAAATTAGTCTCTCAGAGAACACTACATGATGAGAATCGGACTGTAGTACGAGAGGACAACCAGAAGGTTAATTTCAAAAGCACACTCCTGACTTAAAGTAGAAGTAAAATATTAAGTTAGATGCACTCATAGCAGAACACCGAGAACTGCAGCACTTTGCACACTGGGAGATGAGGCACACATGAACTCACCACCATATACGCTTAGGACTTTTACGACTAAAAGTGATCAAGTACCAACATTTGCAGGATTCTTAAATTTACCTTTTAGGAATTTGTGAAGAGCAAGGTAGATGATGTGTAATGGCCCCCTATTCTGCCAAATAAACTTTTTTTTTTTTTAAATTCATTGGTTTTGACCCATTTAAATTTGAATGACGGGACTGAATGGATTTCTCTCTTGCCCGACAATTCTTTCAGAAGTTTTAAAACTAATCCTTTCTTTAACCCCTCCTGACAGTGAGACAGACTGTATGAATACATTCATGGGCTATGGTAGGCTAGTGGACAGCAACAGAAAACATTAAGATACCAGCAGTGAAAAGGATCCTTTGTAAGATATTAGAGTACATTTCCACCTTAAAACTCATGCATTTTAGTTAACTAGGAGCCACTGTACTGATTCCAAAACAGCACTGCAATTCTAACAAAATTCATGCAGTCAATATTGGAGTAATTATGTGCAGGTGTGAGAGCAGCATCAGCAATATCAGCCCTGTGTTCCAGCTTCTTCTGCTCTGTTCGACACAGCTTGGACTCATTCTGTATCATTCAACTTTGCTATGCTTCAGTAACAGCTCCAGCAAACTTGATGTGCCTTAAGTGAAGTCAATGAGTCTTAGCGTGTCTATAGTTAAATGACAGGCTGGAACTGTGTATCCGCTGACTAAGGGGAGGAGGAAGGGGCCCACCTTTATGCAGGACTGCATCAGACACAGATCACTCCCTTTCTTCCTTTCCCTTATCTACACAAGGTCTTCTTACCTGTGGAGGAGGGGCTAACCTCCTCCGCTCAACATCATCTTGAAACACCAAAAACCCCTCTGTTTAGAAGATTTAATAGTATTGCAACATTTGACACTATAAAATACTTTTTGTTAACTTGATAAAGATTCAAATGACCAGTGGATATTAATGCAAGAGAAAGAAGTATTACTTACCCAAAGGTGCAAAATTGTGAATTCCTTCGGCATTATCAGGCTCAGAAGCTAGCACTCTAGCTTTCAAACTGCTATCTGTTGCTTTGGTGGGGCCAGAATCAAGAAATTTCATAATAGTCGAAACCATACTTCTTGCTGTGTTAACAATAGCTCTTGTGCTCGTTACCATGTTGTTACAAATGAGCTGAACACCACCTGTGTGTAACGTGGGCAGGGGGGAAAAACCAACACTGTTGAGAAGCATGCAATAGATTCTAAGGAAGCAAAGGCCTACTTAGTAAATTTGCTCCTCCAGACACAGATGTGTATTCCTTCTTTAAGTGAGAAAAAAAAAATCTACAATAAACTTTTTACTTGATGCAGCTAAAGAAAAGACATTCTTACCCATATCATGGAAAGCCTTTAGTGCCTCACTTGTATCCAACACTCGTAAAATGAACCAGAGCAGTGGCTCAGATAACTGACAAGTGGCCAGAGAACCCTAGAAGAAAAACAGCTAAGAAATACATGGTTTCATAGAAAATTAGTATGACAGAAGTACACATCACTGCTCCTAGCCTTCTCTTTTAGTAGGCAAAAATCCCAGAGAGGAAGTGCCACCACAAAACAGCAATACCATGTTCTACATGGTTCACTCCTTATGAAGGAGAATTCTTTGTGGTAAGGAAAAGATCAAACTACTGGGATAAGCAACTGAAAGGGAATAAGAATATTGAACACTTAAAATACCCACTAATATGAACAAAGTAAATGTGTTTCCCACCTGCATATAATAAAATATTCAATCCATCTTCAAGCCTTTAGCCAGTAACATTTACAACAATGTCAAAATGTCCTTACAGAAACTCTGTCCCTCTACCATAGCCAAGGAGGGAAGATTCCTATCTTCAGCAACAAAGTGAGGTTGGAAAAACATTAACGTTTCTTTTACATAGCGTTAGTTTAGTTTTCTGAGCTTATTATAGGTTACAGTATCAACTAACCTATAATTCCCTTGAAGCACAGCAGACCTAAGGGAACATACCTGTCTTCCCATGTACCCACAGGCCATGTAGGTAAGAATTGGCTGAAGCATCACTTGCACTGTTGTTGCTTTTTTACTAAGCGTTGTCAGGATAGTGAACAACCCATCTCCAACTGATATTGCATCTAAGCCACCATGAAAGTTTTCATGTTTAGTGAGATGTAAGCCACTTGCACCTTAGCGAAACAGAAACAGTTCAAAGGTCAGAAACTGAGACCTAACAAACCATTACATCACATAAGAGAACTCAAGGATATTTAAATTTCTTTTCAGTTAAATGTTCATGTGGATTTTACAAACTAGAAATGAGCCAGTTTTCAGGATCATATGAATTACTATTAGTGCTCCCAGATACGTGCTAACTTCTTTACAGCATAAATAGAAAGACTTGACCCAGGAAGTCGGGGAATTTAAAAACAATTTTAGACAAGACCACAAAAAATAGTGTAATTAGTGAAGGAAACAGAGTAAGAACTACAAGGATTGGAATCACTCCTAGCCAGAAGCAACTAACAAGTATTTAAGATTTTTTTCAAATAATGATAGAAGTGCATTTGTGCAGCCAAAAAACCCCAAACATTTAACATATATATCTCTATCAGCAATACCTCTCCCAGAATTCTCCTTCTCAAGTGTAACAACTCAGGATTTATTCATGAGGATTTACTGAATATCAATATTCAGCAATATTGATTACACATTGGTGAAACTGAGGAGGGAAGGCAAAAGAATAGTCTTTCCAAGTAAGAGATTACCTCTGTAAATACAACATTCTTACAGAGCATAAGACATCAATCTGGAAGAGATTTTATAAGTCATTTTGGATTTGAGTGGGGGGAATCAATGGAATAATCCCATTCCATTTAGTGAAACTGGAGTTATACTAACAAATTGTAATAAAAAATACTGTGTTCAAGTGATCCTTGGAACATGCCTTAGAGAAACATTTTGGCATGAGAATTGACAGCTGTAATACTTTAATCACTTTCAAGCTGTCAAGAAAGAAAATACTGATAAGCACTGGATGCATGGAGACAGACAAAGAAAGAAAAGTCTTAAGACTCAGCCTCTGCATGATCCAGAAAAGTTAAACGGAATGAATGACGGAGCTGAAGCCAGCTAAGGTGGGTTTGCTGTGAAGACTGAGGTGAGGAGAAGGTAGGATAGGAGGGGAATACTGTTACTTGTATGATTTTCATAGTCTGTCAAAGACAAAACATAAAACCCTAATGAAATAAATAGACAAAATGGTCATAAAAGGAAATCCAACAAATGTTTCAACCACATGTGACAAGATAATTACTCAAGGCCATCCTGGTTCCTAACCAGCTGGCTCGCCAGGTGCAGTAAATTAACATTATAAGCACAAATTTTGACACCAGATCTACTACTTATCAGCACACATCTGCAGACATCATCTTGTTTATCTTTCCTGCGCAGCTAACATGCTGCAGTAGCTATTACATGTTTAGTACTTTACACTGATAACTGATTTTAGGATCATATATAACCTTGGCTGCAGTTTTGGAGAAACATTTTGTTCATAGAAACTGTCTGGAGCCAGCTTAATATACTTTTCATGAAGGAACTAAAACCACAAATAGCTGTGTTACACTTCCCAAAATAAACATACAAATTAATTTCAATAACCTAGATTAAAAGACCTTGGGAGGAACAATCCACTGAAGGGATCAGCTGGCCCAGTATCCTGAATTCAATGAAAAACATTTTGAAACACCACTATTGTTCCAAATTGACTTTTTAAAAATGCAAAACAACTGGTGGAAAGAAATCCATGGTTTAGAAAGACATCAAAGTTGAGGAGAAGAATATTTGAATTTCACTCCAAAGAAACACATACTCAGAACAAACCATCATTCCCAGAACAAACTACTCTCAGTGTTCATAGCGTATTCGCAATATGACACCAACAACCCAAAGTAAAAGGAGGAGATGTTCTGGAATTATTTTCAGGAAGGTTCCAATAGTGCTATCCAGGCTTGTCAAATCCTGCCTGCTGTTTAATTTGACTCCTGGAGAGCACTACTTTTTCCTCAATTGCTTTTATGCCAAAATGAACCACTGGTCTAACATTCACGTGCTCTCATCCAAAAAGTAGACTGTTTTCTGGTACTAGCATTGGTTAACAGTTTCACATCTGCTTAAAAGAGACTAACACAGAAAAGGCCAGAGATACTTTCTCCAAAACAAGAGAATCACTTCAAGGAGAACAAGTAATTTTACAACTATTATGCCTGAAATGAAGCGCAAGCTCTTTGCCTGTTCTCCTGCAAAATGTTTTTCCAGTTTTGTGTGTGCAGAAACATTCATGGTATTTCAGCCAGTGGTTTAATTTGTGCAAATAAACTCTGTGCTATCATCACAGCTCACAAGCAAGTCACATAAAGATAGTCTCTCTGAGAAAATGCACGTTAGGTACATGTCTGACAAACAGCAACTTTGCTATTCAAAGTATCATCAGCTTCCTCACTTGTTCATAGCAGGAAGATCCCACCCACAAATATATGACTGGAACTCCCAGAACATGATGTTAATGAGACTTCTGGTAAAATAGAAGAATAGAAAAGTTTATGTATCCTGTGCAAGGGCCTCAATTGTAATTTGTCTTTTTCAGGAACAATTTTAAAAAAAAAAGCAAAATAATGCAATACACAAAGAACAACAGGTAACATGTCTACGGTACAAACTGAAGACTAATCCTTATCCATGCATAGAGGCATGTAATGGGCACAGACTGAAATACAGGAAATTCCATTTAAACAGAAGAAAAAGGCTTTAAGAATGATTGAACATTGTAACAGATTGTCCAGGGCAGTTGTGGAGTTTCCACCCTTGGGGAATTAAAAACCCGACTGGACAAAGTACTGAGCAACCTACTCTCTGAGGCAGGCTCTGAGTTGACCTTGCTTTGCACAGGAACGTTGGGATAGACAATCTCCAGAGGCCCCTTTCAACACTGACCATTCTGAGATTCAGCAAATTCAAATGTCAAATGCATTCCTGTTTGGTTTTAATTACTGTCTCCCACCTCATGGTAGTTTTTTTTCCACATACCTGTCACCCTTTCAGTTTTTATCAGGGTCTTTTTTCCTGACATTTCTGTGACACATTCTTTCACGTCAACACCAATTTATCAGGTTGCAGAAGTTTTAAGTGTTTCACCACCCCAAATGATCTTACATTTTATTTACAAAATACCTACCAATAATCATTGCCATAGCACTGCTGTTACACTGGCCAAGCGCAGACAAAATCTGGCTCATAATTTGTTGGTTGGCTAACACCAAGTCTGCCACATACGCAGTTGATCCTTGAGTATTAGGGTTGCTCCCATTGCCATCTTTGCCTCCTGAAACTTTTTCTTCATCAGACACACTGTCTGTAGTACTGCTTGCTACAGGAACACGGGCACTATATTCTCGGTTACTGGAAAGTGGCAGCTGAACTAAAATGTTGACCAGCTTTAGCAAATCAAACATAAGTTGATCCCTTGTCATTTCTCCACAAACTGCTTTGGCATCACCTGGACGGATAATATTGGCAAAAAGCCCTCCAAAACATGCTCGAGCACCCACAGAGCTGTCTGAGCCACTGCGAGACATCACTTTGTCTGAACATGTAATGTAATGATGCACAAGGAAGGTTATAGACTCAATTACTGCAGAAATAGTGCTAACTGATACAACTTCAAAATTCTGTTCCAGAGTAAATTCCAAGAGTTTCACTTGTGCATCTAAGGGTCCCTGGCCCGTCTGGAAAGCACCCCTGAAAGAAAGAAAAAAACAAAAACAAAAACAAAAATTCATCGATCTTTCAATATTAAACAAGTTAAACAGATTTGGTTGTTTGTGTTCTTTTTGCCTGATTTTTAAGAATCAAGAAGCACACCACACTTTCAATAACATGTTGAAGCACAATCTGATCCTTCACATGAGTCAAGCATTCATACCTTTTTAATAAACTGGTCATTACACAGCCTGTAGAACCTATTCATGCTATCACTTTCCTGGTATCACTAAGGATTAAAGTTTCCTTTGAAAAAGTCTAGGTTGGTTTTGGGTTTTTTTTTGGTTTTTTTTTTAATCATTCAGTTAATTTTACAGACATAGGCTTGGAATACAGTCCTGTTCAGTTGTGGGTGAAAAGTTTCACATTTTTGCAGGTAAACTTCATGGGAAGAAGTCATCCAATAATTTAGTATCACTAGGATTATTTGTTTTCTAACAGGCAATCACAATGGGTCTTCTCATAATTGGTTTTGTTGTTGTTTCTCCCTTCCCCTCCACTCAAAATAGAAACAAGAATGGTCAGGTGTTAGCTATCTAAATAGTAACTTTACATAAGACCATGAGAAGGTACTCAAACTATCATAGGTTGGTGCTTGTAGGTTGATTGCTTGACAGATCTGTTTTAGGGATAAGTTTATTTCCCCAGTTGCTTTTACACATACACTGGTGGACCACAAAATGAACCTTTTGAATCAGTATATTTAAAATAAAACTGGTTCTAATTCTTTAAGAGTGATTTAGTTACAGATTTTTTATATATTTCTCTTTATCTTTTGACATTGATTAATCTTACTCTTTTAAAATTAAATACAGAACAAAACAGTTTCCAGAAATAGCCCTGAAGAAAATATTTAGTATTTAATTAGTTTCTAACAGTAAAATACTCCTTTTCCCCGCAATCAATCATATGCTTTGATCTGACATCGTATACTTGAATAATTACCTAAGGTTTTAGAAATAATCATCTAAACCCTTCTCTGGTGCTTCGATTCCAATTTATGACATTTCAATCCCACCTTTGGTTTGTCTCAAAAAACCTAACACATTTCAAAAATTATCCTTTCAGTGGTCTCAGCTTATTTCAAAAATAAATTATGGCATGCAGACACACATTCCAAGATTCACTGTGAATTAATGATTTTCTTGTATTATGACATTTCGTGTATAAGCAATTGATCATCAATGTAACCTAGTAAAACATCACCCACCCAACTGAAGTTACTAAAGTAATATCTCTTAAAGAAGGTCGAAACTGTTTTCTGTATGATTAAAGAATAGATAATACCAAAGTGCCACCTACTGGGAAGCCAGAAACTGAGGAAACTCATCCCTAATTATACCAAGCCTTCATCTGGGGATTAGCAGAATATAAATACCACTCTCACACAGATTTTAAAGATAAAGAGGGTGTGTTAAGATTTACCTTTCTGTTGAAAGTATATGTATTAATTTCAATAAAAATTCACTGAACATCTGAGGACAAGTTGAAGAAAGGTGCACTTGCAACCGAGTAAGAAATTCTTGCATAGCTTGTGTCGCTGTTGGCCCAACCTAGAGAGAAAGGCATTTTAGTTAAGTATTACATAAAACTGAAATGTCTTCAAGAACATTAAGTAGTATCTAACAAGAACATTTACTACGAACAGGAAAGTATTGTGTAGCTTAACTCATCTTCTGAAAAATTTTACAGCATTTTCACAGAACTATTCTGCATCAATTCATATTATGTGTTTTCTACCACTAACCATAAGTAAGTTAAATAATTCAGGTCTTCTCCTAAGACTAATTTTGTAGCTTGAAACTTTATCTCTTCAGCAATGCAAACTAAGCTTCACACAGAATACATTTCTATGCTAATCTGAATGTTTTTTCACAAACATATGCATATAAGTGTTTTAATGGCACTCCACAATGTTTAAGTTCTGGAAAAGATTGTATTTTCTGGAAAATTTTCTGGAAAAGACTGGAAATACCAGGTGTTTTCTGTCTCCTAAACTAAGTGTTTCTGAGAGTCCTGTCAATTATTACATAAAATTTAGTTAACTTAGGCGTTTTTAATCACTCTTCACAAATATTTCAAAGACTGTAAAAAAGAAAAAAACATGAGTTGATATTAAGAGAAACAGTAGACACCACATGAATTCAGAAACAGGCAGAAAAATAAACGCATAATTTTAAATTCTGGAATTATTAGATATGTGAACTTAATCTTCATTGGTGTTTTTATTCCAATCCAACAAAATTTCAGGAAACTAACTGAACTCTATTACTTTTTGCATACATGCAACTAAGGAATCCTAACACAGAACACATTCACTGACATATTGCATGGCATTCTCTCCCTGTGGTAAGTCTCTAGATAATTGTAAAAATGTACAATCATTACTCAGTGTATCACCAACATGAACTTCCCTGCGGCTGATCAGAACCAACTAAGACTATAACCAAAAAACCCAAACAAGCCACGGATATAAAACACTATGAATATCACATACTCATGTCAACTGTATTGAAATCCCATCAAGAAGAGTTTTTCTATTATTTTAATTGCTAGTTACCTGTGGACTGTGTTGATTTGTTCCATGAGGATTAGTGCCGGAAAGAAATTTCACTAACACATGAATGAGATTTGGATCTGATACCAACAATTGGGCAGTACTTTCCTGAGCTCCAATGGCACTGCTTGGACCAGCTTAAAAATGAAGACATCAAAATTAAATCCATAATCTTAAGCATTAAATGTAAATCAAACATTTATACTGCATATCTCTTACACTTATTTCATGATGTGTAAATATTCCTAGCAAAATCAGCTACCGAAAGCTGCTTACTCAAGACTACAATTTTGAGTGTAGATTTTTTTCCATTAAGTATGGACATAAACCCCTAAAACCTTTCCATCAGTGTTCCAAGCTTGCTAAGGCAGTACTCCTGAAAGCAGAGCTTCATTTTGTAGAAGCAATATATGCAGACATTTTGATTTGTTTCTCTTTGCTAGTCCAACGCTTTGATAAGCCTTAAGTGCACTTGTTAGCATGTCACAGAGAGACCGCATGTTCTATTATCCTGTAAACAATCAAGATATTTTTGTCTTTGGCACATTCAGAGATTTCTCATCATTGACTGAAATTGTAGAGAGTTTAACAGATAAGAACTTTGAGGACCAGAATTAGAATTAAAATACACACTTCAATGATCACACACGAGCTTTATTAAATGTGAAGTCTTACTCATTCAGTAGTGGTATATTGAATCGATTCAAAACACAACTTGAAAAAAGCATAGCTACTTACTGAATAAAAGGACATGCTCACAATATTACACCTATCTAAACAAAGTTACAGGTTATTATATACTGAAGATGCAATCTCTTTCAGACTATCATCATATACAAAAGATTAAATCAAGAGGAAATGATGCTCTGGTACGAGAACTGTTATATTGGCTGGCATCTCTTCACATTCCCAGATAAGATTCTTAATTAGGGAGGCTGTTAAAAGAACCAAATCCTGAACTACTTACTAGTCAATTCTGTTTATCAGAGTCTTCATCATTCACAATAACTTCCTTAAACTAAGGGAAGTTAAACTAAAGATCCCAACCAGGAGGGAAAACATCTCCATCAAAAATAGAATTAAACTCTGACTGCTTCCACCTCAGCTGAAAAGCTTTCAGAGCAATGAAATAAAAACAGCATTGGAAAGACAACTTGGTACGAGAAGAAATCCTTATGGGAAGATGGAAGAAGAAGATAATTCACAGTAAGCGTTCCCTTTATCAAATGCCATTTTATTCTCAAACTATAAACAGATCTCTTGCTTTAGATGAATGCAGAAAACTAATGCTGAAAGTATTTATTGTACAGCTACACAAACAATTTTGCATTGATTTATCAACATTAGTAGTGGAAAAAGCCACTGGCTATGACTGATGACTGGAGTTGAATAAAAGCAAGAAAGCATCCCACAGCATTCCAGTTCCACTGTATTGTAGACAATAAGCCTGCTCTAGTTTACATTTGATAGTGAAAAAGATTAAAAGGGTAAGTCTTGTCTGGGTGCGAGACAAGTCTGTAAAAAGCAAGCACACCATTTCACATGTTCTCTGAAAGAAAAACTGAACATTTCAGAGCAATAGTGAAGCTTTCCATTGCAGGATGTCACCTGGAAACACCAGTCTGGGTGAACTGATCAAGTTTATTTTCCTCTGATGAATCTGCACCTCTGAACATTTACTGAAGTAAAACATACAATACACTGATTTTCCCTCTAAGCAAGCTAGGTATGTAGGTAGTTGTTGGGTTTTTTTTCACTGGTTGTTTTTGGGGTGTGTTTCCAATTATATGATGATACAAATTCAAAATGAAAATGACACTTAGGTCTCTAAGAACACCAACTTACGAAGCTCATCAGTCTGGCATGTATACTTAAACCTGTTATATTACTGCCTTTTGGTGTTGTTTAAAGAAGTTCCACTTACAAACTATTTTGAAATTTAAGACAAATCATTATCACTAAAATTACATTCAACTGCAGCTGACATAACTAATCAAAACGAGAAGTCAATCTGAATCTGGTTATTTCGTTTTTCATAGTTTTCTGTAACTTTTCATTGTTTCAATGTAACTGCTTCATTCAAACTTTTCACTTGACTTCAGTTTTGAGCTAGATGTCACTTTAGTTTCTCCAAAACTACTGAATATTCAAATTAATTTTAAAGTAAGTGTACAAAGTGGCTAAAATATTCAAATTTTTATGTGAAAAAGGGACATACTTTTACACGTTCCTGCATTCCTGAATGGTACCTTCATAGACAGAAGATATTTCGTTTTCGTCAGAGATCTTAAATCACCTATGAAGCCTATAATGATCAGTGTGACAAACACCACTGCTATTCAATGTTCTTTTTTAAAGAAGAAAACAAGGCAAAACAAACTCTCCATTGAAACTACAGCTTTTAGATTATGCATGCTTGCATTTTTCTCAACAGGGCACATTTGGGGAGTAGCTTCAAGTCATTTAATTTGTCCACTTGGTGCTTCTTT